AGCCGAGCATAATAAAAAAATGAAGCAGCAGTTAGGTAAAATGAAATTAGGCGAAGTCAGTGACAACCAATATTTAATTATGGGTGGATTGGCGATCGGAGGAATCTTACTCGCATTTTTTTTGAAAAAAAAAACCTGCCGAATTACAAGAACCGATTCAACCAAAGCCGACTGTTCAACCAAACAGCGAGCGTAGCGAGCGGCCCGAGAATTTGGATATGGAATAAATTTAAAAACTCCTCATAATAAAAATGAGTAACGCTAAATCAATCGACGTAAACGGAATTGCCAATACGGATTACCACGGCGCTGTAGTTTCAGCGATTTCCAATAGGTTACGCCATGCTATCGAGTAAGCTAATTAAAATTAAACAGCCCGATTTAAATAAATTATCTTTCAAAGACGCGTTAAAAGTATTTCTTAGCCTAAATACTATTAGACAAAGAACAAACGTGGGTTTTATGAGACGCGTCTTAGGCTTACAAGACTACGTCTCTGGCAAAACAAAACAGCAGGCGCAAGAAGTGGCTCGTAAACTAGCGGAAATTCATCCCGAGAGCATAGAATTAGAAGAACTGTCCCAAGAAGCAGATCTAGCGAGCGACATTGTGGAAGACATCACCCGAGACGTAGACATTCAAACCGAAGGGTTAAATTACAGCGAACTCGTCGCTTTAGATAAATCGTTACAAACGATAAAGGGAGAATTAATTTTAATCAAGGTAAATAAGATCAGTTAGACTTAGAAATTCAGCAGGTCAAAGCCGACTTGGAAGAAGCGACATCTGAAGGAGAATGTACAGAACTTCAACGGCAATTATACGACTTACGAGTCGGAAGACGGGGGAAATTAGAAGTCATCGATAGAAATTCCGATCAATTGAGGAACCAAATTAATCACATCAAGGAAACGATCGAAAAGATCGTGAATTCCGACAAAACTTTACGCCAGAAGATTTGAACGATATTTCTAGAGCAAGGTGTAACGATTGTAAGTATTTTAGCGGCTTTGTCACTAGCGTTGAGTACCATCGTTAGTAGCATCGTAGCCAACGTTAGAGCTGCTGGAAGCATAGCATCACGCCCGAACTGACACCCGAACCTAAACCACCGAGTAAAGATGGGATCAAACGGCAACTGTGAAATTTGGCAAACGTGTTAAAGAAACTCGGGTCGAAAGCTTTAGGCGCTTTGCCCGGAATCATAGGTAGCGTTTTAAGTTGGATATTCAACGTGGCGAGTAAAGCGGTTGGATGGGTGGCAGAGCACGTGTGGACTTTGTTTTTAGCGGTCGGTTATATAATTTTGACTTTTATACAAAAAACGTAAATCGTTTTATAAAAGGCAAAAAAAAATTAAGCGCTTGTTTTCAACGTGGAGAACCAAGGTTTTTTTAATGCATTTTACTTTTTCGTCTACTCTAAGTTAATATTTTATACAACATAAAACCTGATTACACCCACGGCAACGGCTTCAACGGTTAAAGACAGGTTTTCTTCGTTGTGTACGTCTTAAGGTTTTTTCTCCTTTGGTTGTTGAAGTTGCTTTGGTTGAGTGGGTAAAAGTTCTGGTTGCTTTGGTTTTGGTAACAGTTCTGGTTGCCTTGGTTCGCTCGCTTCGGGGCTTTCTCCCAAATTTAAACTCGGTACGCATCCAGTCTTCATATCCTCAGTCGCGATTTGTAAATTATTGCTATAACCCCCAAAAGTGCTAATGCGTAAGTCCATATCCGAGGGTACCAGGTATAGCACAATCGTAATAAATTGCCGTTGCGCATCTAATCCGGTGCCAGTGGTTAAAACGCTGGTCTTGGTTTGTGCTTGTGCCCCGAGTAACGCGTTGACGTAAGCGCGGATAGATTCATTCACTTTTGTAATTCCAACGTCCGTTAACCTAGACCTTTTAAGAACGAAATCCCACCAGGCCAAAGTGACCGCATCTGACTCTGAAATCCAGGTGACCGTGTAAGTACTTGCGTGACCCGAGCCTTTAGGCGGTTTAGCCCAGCCAAAGCCCATGTAAGTAGATCCTGCGTATTTGCCGTTGGTCACGTGTAAATCGTGCGCGTCGTAGTTTTTACCCAGGACAGGTACGTAACCGTTGTCATAATAATAAGCGGTACCTAATCCGTTTGAGTGTCGCGAGTTTGTTTATACGATCTGTTTGGGTCTACTCCGTATAAAAGGCACGTGTCTGTACACTTCCGATGGTCGAAACTTTCGGTAATTTATACGCGTGCGTTAAATTTGGAAACTCGGCTGTAAACGAGTTGTCTTTGTTGACCAAAATTGTTAAACTACTGAAGTTAGCTCCTATTTATTTCATACGTAGTTTAAAGGGGGTGCTGTCGGTTGGGTCGCTTGATAAGGAGGTGGTTGTTCCTGATACTTAACCGACTTGGTTAAAGTTACTCGCCAAGTTTTTGTTTTTTTAAATTCTTCTTTATTTTTTTCTTTACTGCTCACTTCGCTCGCTTGCAGTTTAGTGCTAGTGTTTGACCTAATTTCTTCTTTCATTTCGTTGAACTTTTTTAGCTTGGATAAACTCAATACGAATTCCTCCTGGGATATATCCCCGTCTTCAATCACGTATTCCACGATGGTGTTCAATTTAGCGTCTGCCAACATTCGAATTTGGGCGTGTTTTTTAGCTTTGTGGGTGAGTCTATGATTAGCATATTTCAAAACCGCGTAAGCACCGAACACACCGATAGTGATGCCTCCCATCACAAGTCCGACGGTAACAACGCCCAAAATGGCGGGAATTCCGACGGCTGCCGAGGTTGTTATTATAACATGGACTGATTTCACCTTTTGTTAAACTCGATTCCAGGCGTTTCCTTTAAGGTTCACTCAGAATCTAAAAGGGTGACTTTGGCCATTACGGACCCAATCTCAAGTTGCGACTAAATAAAGAAGTGTCTAAGCTATTGAACTTACCCAAAATAAAACTTTTACCCAACGTTATTTATGAAGGCAAGTACGATTCAAACCCCTCAAAACTCACGGTTATTCATTGCAAACAATTAAACACATTTGATCACTTTTATAACAGGCAAGCGGAAAGAGGCGAGCGAAGCGAGGCGAGCGAAGCGAGGCGAGCGAAGCGAGCACTGAAATTTACAGACTCAAAAAGATCGAAGAAATTAAATCCCAAATTCAAAGAGAACGCGACGCGTGCGAAACTAGTTACAAAAAGATTAAACGGGTACTGACCGCACTTGGTTACGTAGAGTACGGCGTAGAAGCACTGGGCGCCCTTTTGACGTNCACTTCCCAATTCTATTAAAGATTTGGTTGTTTTAGGATTAATTAATGTCTTTTACTGACTAAGAAAACTGGTATTGACTCCAGGTTCACTGGCTGTCCCAACGCAAATTGATTAGTGATTTTTTTTTATCTTCTAGTACATTTTAAAGAAATTGTGTGGGTTTGAGGCAGTTTTGTTTATCCGGCTTTTACACACTTTTGCCCATTGTTTGGGCTTTATGTGTTTTTGTTCATAAGGATTTTATGGATTCTTACAAACTCTCATGCATGCATTTCCCTATCGTACAGCAAATGGTTTATATAGTGCTAATTAACCTTTGGATTTTTAACGACAAGGCCTATCCATAAAAATTCTCTTGGGGGACAATTTTAACGCATGTATTTTCTGTCTGTGTGACACTTTTTGTATGCGTATATTATTCATGTCTTCTCTGATCATGATTAATAAGCCCTTTGCGAGTTGAGTTTGGGTGGGGTCTGGTATGCTGGGTTGTCTGATTGTGCGTGGACATGTCAGTTCGAGTCCCCGGGGAGGACTTCTATACCCAGCAAGAAATGAGACCGAGGGGTACCCCCCAGACTATTGTTACTTAACACATCCCCCCCAGATGTATGAAAGGAATTCCCCAGATTCCTGCGAGACAATGACCAACACAAAGCAGGGGGGGGGGTTCTCTCCGTCTCATACCTTGATGCATATGAGGACTTCTGCAGAACAAAAGGGGTAGGCTAGTTCAATTATGGCTTTCTTCTTCATTAGGGACAGTGTGTTGGTGCGGGCGTCTCCTGTGTGGCTGAGTGAAGGCGTGCCTCGAGTCATAAGGTGTGGCGGTAGTGTCTTAGTGTGGGAGCCGGATTATGTTCGCGTGGGTTTGGGGGACTGACATCCCGCTACAAAGTAGACCCGCAACCCACAATTATCCAGAAATGCCTTTCTTGAGTAATTAGAATTGAATTTGGGAGCCCACACCACACACGTAAGAACTAAAGGAATTTTAAAACCTTATTTGTTTGGGTAAACCGATTTGCTAGGGAGCCAAACCACACTTACAAAAGAGATGAGGTTGAAAAAATCTTAACTAGCAACTCTGTTGTATCAAAACAATTGGAGAAAGACAAACATGACGATGGGTGACACCTACACGCTACGCTAACCCTAACCCTTTGGACGTGAACCGGTTGACGTCTGGACAAGCGCCGTAATTTTTAGCAGGGCAGTTGAAAGCGGCGGAACAGGAGAATTCAAAAGAAAAAGAATGAAAATAATGCCTAAATTCAAGAGTTGCGCCTCCCTACATTTACGGGCGCAAGAAATAAATTGCAAGGCTAAAGATCTTAAAGAAAAAACAAAAAGCAAAAAATAAAAAAGACACCACAGCTTTTTGGGGACGAAAACCCAACACTAACTGACTACAAGCTTCATACGGTGCTTGTTGTTACAAAACTAGTGCCGTAATTGGGGGGTGGGGAATCAGTGTGGGAGATAACCTGCCTGGCTTTGAAAATTTCAAAAGCGGGGGCTGGGGTGCTGACATTAGGGGACAATGTTCATGATACAGATGTACATCTGTAATACGTTCTTGCAGAATCTTACATCCAAACGGTTTCCTTATGATTTTTTTTATTCTCCCTTTTAGATTGCTATTGAATACATTTTGGTTGTTTGGAAGTACGAAAAATTCTTCACAATCCCCCTAATTTTTTTCTCAAAACGAAAAAGCGTGTGTATGGACCCTTCTCCCCTCGGTTAAAACGTAGGGGAGGATATATACATTCCCTTGGGATTTACACAGTGAGTCTCTCTAATGCCGTGTAATATGTGAAATTAGTGGTACCAGACTATTTTGTCTTCCAAAACATCACTTTAAATTTATTCTTTAATTTTGCTTAAAACTATTCAGACAAGTGTAATCACAACTTTGTAATTAAGTATCTACCTCTTAATTTATATAACCTCCGACCCAGTGCCTGATTTCAATGTATAATTATCGGTGGCCCTTCAGATGCAGATATGCAAACTATAATATCTTCCGGCCGGAAGTTACCTGTATTTCATACCTGCATTGCATAAAAACTTTGGCGCGACTTTGGAAGTTTACAGTATTCTGAGCCAGTCCCCACACCAGAAACGTGCGGTTTGGGCGAGAAGCAGTATCTTCTCAAGTCATTACCTAGCAGTCCCACATTTTCTTGGCTTTGAGGGCCAATTTTACGATGGAAGGGTTAGAATACAAAAGTTATTTCCTTAAACTCAAATCAATTCAATGGTCTGATTTATAGAGTCAGTGAATTATGGATGTCGATATTGTACGGGCCATGAAGATGACCCCCAAATGATGTCGTCCCTTCTTTGTAAGGTTGTCATCTCTTCTTACAGTCCTATCACAAAAAAGAGAGACTTGATCCGAAATGAAACTAACAGGTCATATTTTTATATCAAACCACCAATTGAAACTTACCCGAGAAAAAGATCTTTAGGATTATCAACGAATACTTATCGAAATGTTAACAGCAGTTTAAGTTTGTTCGAGTGATTGGATTTCCTACTTCGTGTTTTACGGGTTCATAAACCTTAACTGAAGTATAATACTTGTGCTGCAATTCTTGGCATTTCTCTGACATGACAGGTTATGACAAGTTCAACTCATCGATTTTAATTGGGGCTACGGGTTTCCTACACATTAGATGCAGTGCATCTGCCGTCACCTCTGTTACAGACAGAACTTCAAAGTGAAACTTCTCCAGCATCTTCTGTGCTTCCTCCCTCCCCCAGAATGCGCCCAAACCTGCTCCACCATCGAACAAGGAGGTAGGCATGCAGTTGTACAGGCTGTAAGTGTACTCCACGTTGACTCTGCTTTGGTCTTCGTACTTGGTGAGGTTGTCCTGAAGCTTGGAGTAGCCGTTGGTTTCGATGACAGAGAGGGCTCCATTAGGCTGCAGCACCCGGTTCATCTCCTGCACAGCCTTTGCAGGAAATGACAGATCATGCAAGACGAAATTCATGAACAGGTAGCCAAATTTCCCGGTCCACTCGGCGGGCATAGCTGTCACATCTCCTCGACGGAACCGGACATTTGTGAGACCCATCTGTACAGCTGCACTCTGGGCCTCGTCGATAGCATTCTGGGAAAAGTCAAGTCCGTAAAAGTTACTCTTTGGGAAGTGAGAGGCCATGATTCTGGTGGACTCACCCACTCCACAGCCGACATCCAGTACTTCAATTCCATCATCTAAGAAGGGAAAGATTGCAGTTCTTTAGCTCTAGGCCTCGATTTTTTTGGTGTGTCACGAGATAAGGGTCTATCTCTGCTCTGAGTGTGTCGTGATGGCACTCTGAAAAAGACGTACTACTATCAACTTAACGAAGGGACAGAAAATCACAGACGAACAACAACGGCTATGTCTAAATTAACTGCATCTGAGTATAGCACACAAGTCAATGGAGAGAGAAAGCAGCCACGTGTCAGTGGCTAACGTATAAGTAGGCGTACACGTCATTGCTTCCAGCCACTGCCAGATAACATCATGTCTTTATGTAAGAGAACGAGGTGCCCTGGAGGGGTTTCATGTATTCAACGAAGTCTACTTACTTAGTTGCTGGAGTAACTGTGGAATTGATGGAATCACCACCTGGACAAGTTTGTCACGGAAGAACGGGCCTTGCATTATACCCATCAACTCGTCAAATTTAGGGTAGTGACTGTATGAAACACCTACAAGAATGCAAAAGATAGGTACGATGGTCTTAACGAACCGAGGGGCGTTTAAACCAAATTCCCTCATTATCATCTTAATTTACTCATCGGTGTGTTCTCAAAAAAATGCTTAGAATTTACTATCAAACGCATGTAGAGCAAGCAAATCAGGTAAAGTGTCGCGTAAAGCAGGTCTTAACGTCTTCAGTGCAAAGAGTGACGGGATAGTTCATGCCATATTCACATTATCCCAACTAAAAAAATATCCGTACCCTGCATGGTTTAGTCATTCAATAAGCGTTGGATTTCAGCTAGTGATGCCTCCTTCTCTGATCAGAAATGTTCTTTACTTATCCATTGCGGTTTTCGTACGCTTTGATAGGTGTTGATTGCCTTGTTCTAGTATGGAAGAATTATTGAGCACACTGAAGGTCCGCTCTGTGGATGTTGTGGTCACGTGACAGAGTATGTTTAATTGGTAAGATATAGGTATGTGTGTGCGCCCAATGAAATGACCACTGAAAACTGCGACCCTATTTACATGGAGGGCATTTTGATCTTAGTCCCCAAATCTGTTTTATATATTACAAACTGTCAACTAGGATGGTACCAGACTGTTTTATACTTCGGTGCGTTCCAAGACCCCCTTTCAATAATTTTCAAAATCCAGTAGTATACGATTCTATGTGTTCAATCATGAATTTGAAATTATTCATCAGAGTAGACAGGTACTAATTTGTCATGAAATTTCATTTTATTGCTTAACCCTAACCCTCCTCAATCCTTCACCTGTTGGAGGACTGAGGAGTGTCAGGGTTAATTTTGTTCTTTCAACATTCCAAAACGAATAGTTAACCTTGCTTTCAAATTCAGTATTCCGTGAATAAAGTCCGTTATGCTTGACGTTCTTTTTCGCACCACCCTATTCTCTAGTAAATCTACGTTTCCAGTGAGTCTGATACCGCACTTGGGTACACATACCAGTTGGCCCGTCTCGTTCAAAGCAATCAGCTACGTGATGGAAACCCCCGCAGAGAATGGGCGTGGTCAGAGCAAGACCCTTCAGATCCATGATGCCTGCTCGATGGGTAGGAAGCCAGAATTTCTCCCCCTCGGAGTCACAGCTGATGATCTTGGCACTGGTCATGCACCCCAACCATTCTCTCACGTACCTGAGACATCAAACAGCGTGTTAAATGTTAAATGCAACCAACCTGGGTCAGTAACTTAGAACCAGTGGAGTACCCAGCTCTCGATGTGGGGGGTGGGGGAATCCAAAAGCGAATTATTTGGGTTTGGGCTCATTCAACATGATGTTGTGGAGAAAAAAATCAAATCACCATCCCGATATCCTTGCTTTTGCCGGTGTTGTTTTCTTAGGGATTTGGTGCTAATATCTGATAGAAACCCCCCCCCCCAAAAAAAACCGCCCTGCCTCCCCACTGGAAATGCCACAGAACATCGGTAAATCATTGCCTATTTCTGCACAAAATGAAGTGAATGAAAAACAACAATAATAAAAACTCACTAATAGTTTCAGCGAAAATATTCTACCAAAATGCGAAGTTAAAAAAATGACAAGATTGCCTTTTGTAACAGCCTTCTGAAGCATGCACTGTGCCTCATAAATCATTCAAGAACGAACTCAGCTATAATGATAAAATCCTCACCTTTCTTTGAAGTTACCAGTATCAGCAATCTCCTGGCTGGTCTTAGGTTCCCCTTCTAACGAGATCATGACATCAAAAAGACCAGTCTGCATACCCATGGCGATCCCCATGCCCAGTATTCCTCCCAACAGCTTCTGCTCTGTGCAGGCCAAGAATTCCTCGGCCGTTTCGTTCTTATCCAGTGCGTTGCTGTCCGCCATTTCGCTCCTTTTCTTTCAGTGTTGGATAATGTTTTTACTAGACCCAACACAGACACTGAATTGTAATTTCATGATGACGCGCCCTTTGTGCCACATGTACTATGCTGCTTTTGTTATGTTATCATCAGTGAGGTCCAAAGTTGGAAACGTTGTGTGTAGAGTACAAAGAATGCAGTTTTCTCCACTCCATTGCACTTAAATACCAGTCACATTTTAGAGACTCTACAGGCTACATTGACGCAATGGATAACCATAGACCTGGAGAAAAATACGATGGACTGCCCACTCCTACGGGCGCCCCGTGCATTGTTTTTATACATGTTCCGTCTGCCGGAGTTGCCGGCACAGGAAACATCCAGTTGACCTTTGAATGTTCACGCACACGAGCAAAATGGGCATGAATGGATGAGATAGAGAGCATACAAGTGTGGTATGATATTCGGTATACCATAAAAACCCAACCCCTATTTGTGTCTTTAGGCGCTGCTTCCAACAACTGCACAATTATTACCTGGGAATTTATGCCATTTTGAGTATTTTTGTGTTGCTGCATGCCCAATTTAACATACGGAAAACAGCAAAACGAGT